CCCCAAAACCCCAAAACCCCAAAACCCCAAAATCTACTTCATAGCTGACGGCAGTATGACTTAATATCTATCTAATTTAAAATTTCAAATCTTAATATATTCAAAGCTTAGCGTCATGTAAGGGCTATGGCTAAGTCTTGGCTTTCCTACTAGTATTCTAACTCATATACTAAAATAATTTTGGCAAAAATTCCTCATCAGCATATATTCCAGCCAACGACTTGCCCTCTCTTTCTATAGTTTTCATGAGATGCTTCTTATTCAGTCCTTCATTCAAAAGCCTCTTTGCATTTACAGTTGTTTTCAAATCATTTTTCAAAATTTAAGGGATACATGGAATTTTGTCAATGTCGAAGTATTCTCCATTTTCGATCTGAATGTCTTTTGCCTCAATAATGTCAGTTATATATCCAAGCTTCAATGCTTGTTTAGCAGTTAGACTTTTATCAGCAAAGATCATTTAAGCAGCCACTCTTCTACTTAACTATTGCTAGAATGTAAAAGTAGAGCCTCCTTCTGGGGACTAGAAACTTTATAAAAAGGGGGTCTTAAATATTGCCTCTGGAGTGCAATATATAAAATCAGCATAGGCTGACATGGTGCAAGCAACTCCAATAGCAGCTCCACTAACCATCAAAACTAAAGGCTTCTCCAAATCAAGCAAGGCAGTTAGCATTTTGACAATTATTACTTGAGCTCCCTCTTGAGCCATCTTGATTACCTCCTCAACTGAATGAGACTCCAGTTTTTTCATGAAAATACTCAAATCATTACCACTTGAATAGTAAGATCCTCCATGAATAAGAACTACTCTCACTTAATCATTATTATTGGCATCATTGAATAAATCAGCAAGCTTGAGCAAATCCTCCATGTCAATAGCATTTTTCTTGCCTGGATTATTGAATTTAATCTCTTACACTCCATTAGGGTGAATTCCATGGAAGAGATTGCCGACTTGCTTAAAGTTTTATCTATTGTAGCTCATAAATATATATTCTAATCTTGATCACTCACTGATATTAACTTGATTTTAATATTAGAATAGATTAGCAAATAATTGTACTTTTCACTTTAATTTGAATCTATTTAACTTCAATTTCATCTATTATCAGCTAGTGGGGTTTTGGGGTTTTGGGG